TTTCTCCCTTTTATTTACCAGCTTACGATGGTTAGTTTTAGGGCATGTTTCAATTAGCATCCTTATGCTCGCATGTTTGCATCCATTCATCTTTCTTGCATACACCGAGCTCGGCGCATCATACTAACTGCATTGTATTTCAATGCCAAGTTGAATACTTGTATCAACTGTTGCATTTCACATGCCATTTTAGAATAGCCGAGCCTATCTTAGTTGCATTTTGTATGTGTTGCATTAGGCATTCTTGACATAGCTAGGATCATGAATTGATTTCTAACATAGCTTTTGTTTTGGCTCGGAGTACTCGGTGAGTGTTTATGCTTTAGCATCCTTGCATGTGTGTGAGTGACTGCCATGATAGCATGCTTGCCATGAGGCTAACTGCTTATGTGATATAACTGCCTGAATGCCTATAGGTGAAGGTTGGATTACTTGAATTGGAGCAATTCATTGATTGCGAGTTTTAAGCCTACTTGAGAGTGGCAAACCACCATATTTTCTAAAGCCCACTTGAGGGTGACAAAATCCGCATTTTAGCCTACTTGCGAGTAGCAAACCGCTTTTAAAAACAAACATGAGATGTTTTGTTCCAATTTAGGCGATCTAGTCTATACTTGTATGCTGTGCGTGTCACATAGTAATTCTAGGTTAATAACCGGAATAAGAGCACATGTGTTTTCAAAAATAAGATATCATGTTAGTAAAGGCCGATCTTTGATCGGGCGAGTGGGGGTGCTCATTGCATGACCTTCCCCTCTCGTACCCAAGTTCCCGAGCCGAGGCAACTTTGGTGATGACGGACACGTGGCCTTAGACACGAGTCAGGGTTTCCTATATTTCTCAAAAATAAAATATTTAGGTGGCGACTCTGTATCTAGCAAAATAATCCGTGTTTGGCACTTCTTTCTAAAAATCAGTTTTTCAAAATGATTTGCCGAATTTGGACTCTTTGGTGATTTATCAATCTCGCATTGCACTTTGCAAGATCAGATTAAGAACCGTGACATTTGAGGCCAAATTGTAGTGAGCCCAATGAACAAAACGGGATTTTCCCGGGATGTTCGGACGCGTCCACAACTTGTCACTAGTCTTTCGTCTTCTATGTCAATAGAGTCCTTTCTTCCAGTCCAGAGAGTAGTGCGTCCTCAGTTTCTATTGTCAATATCAATCACAAAGTCTAGAAATGAATGGTGTTCCCATAGACAACGCTAATTGTACGTGTTAGATTTCACACTGGAGTAATGAATTTGGACTCTGTGACTGAACTGGATGATCCAGGAACCAAAGACCTATAAGAAAATGGCAACCATGAGAGCTACTCGACCGGGGTTGGCTGGAAAACCCTCCAGCATGGAAGTTAGGATTTAAAGGAAGAAGAGAAAGTCTAAAGGTCTATGTATTGCTTGAGATTACTTGGAGTAACATGGAATTACTTACTTTGCAATGTGATGGGTGTGTTATTTATATAGTTGGCTTGACTTGCTCTCCAAGATGAAGGTAAGGGAGCTTTGGTGAAACATGAAGGGTTAAAGTGAGAAAAAAATAAACTTTAAGGGCCAAAGTGAAAAAGTGACCAAGAATAAAGGGGGCAAAGTGTAATTTATTCTTTTTTAATTACATTTTAGTATATTTTAAAAAAAAATAGTTATAGATTGGTGGTAAACTTTATCAATATCAATAATTAAAGTTATAAATTTTTCAATAAATCTATAATCGTAATTGTCCCCTTTTTTTTTCTTTTTTTTTTCTTTTCCCCTTCTCTCCTACAATTTTATATTACATCATTTTTATACTTTTCATAAGCTTAAAAGACTAAAAAATATCATAAATTAACATTTCGTTACAAACATAAAACTAACTGTATTTTTTAAAGGGTTGGTTTGAGAATAACAACTAAATTTTCCCTTAAATTATAGTGTTTAATCTTCCTCACTTTTTGGATCTGAAAATTCCTCAAAAAATTACAAAATATCATTAGTTACTAATTGGGATGGGTTAAAATAGTCCATTTCAGACTAAAATAGTCAATAAAATAAAACACCTTATCAAATCACTCTTCACTTTTTTACACGTTTTTTTCGTAAAAAGATAAATAACCAACAAAAATAGCCTATTCCCAAATGTTACGGATTTATTTTGCACGCTTTTTTGCACCTTATCAAACGGATTTATTTTTTTAATTCGTGGCTCAGTTCTGATTTGAAAAATTGGAGAACAATCTCCGTGGATTGGCTTCGGATTTATGTCTACAGTTGCAGATTTGAACCGGACTAAACCGTATAACTTAAACCATATATGTTTGTTTAAGTTGATGGTGGAACGATGTGCATATTTATGTTTTGAAAATTTATGCTTCGAAAAATCATGGCAAATTAATGTGAAACAATGTTTGCTTAATGTTATGTTTTTACTTAACTGGTAAATATTATGAGAGCAGTTTGTTTGATGAGCATGTTATTATTATTTTTAAAATTTATGATAGATTGAATTTTTTTGAAAATATTATATGATTTTTTTTGTGAATAAATTATGTGAAACCGTGATTCCAAAACGAATCGAATCATGTTTAAATGGTTTGGTTCGCAATAAATTGGTCATGGTTTCACTCCAAACCGATCCAAACCGGACCATGCTCACCCACCGCTACCTTGCCTTCCTTACTTTTGACAAAGCTTATAATACAGTTATATTAAAATAAAAATAAGCATTATACCAAAAACAAAAAACAAAAAAGACTCCAAAAGACCAAACAAAAAACCCCTACACAAATTACAAACAACAAATAGCAAAAGTTGCCAAAAAATTATCAATGACAGATGTCTTTTGTCATAATGCAGTTATATTAAAATAAAAATAAACATTATACCAAAACAAAAATACTCCAAAAGACCAAACAAAAAACCCCCACACAAATTACAAACAACAAATAGCAAAAGTTGCCAAAAAATGATCAATGACAGTTGTCTTTTGTCATAATGCAGTTATATTAAAATAAAAATAAACATTATACCAAACAAAAAGACTCCAAAAGACCAAACAAAAAACCCCCACACAAATTACAAACAACAAATAGCAAAAGTTGCCAAAAAATGATCAATGACAGATGTCATTTTCATATAATTAAAATTGGATAAATTATACTTTGCCCCTTTATATTTGATCACTTTCTCACTTTAGCCCTTAAAATTTATTTTTTTCTCACTTTGGACCCTTCATGTTTCAAGTTTTTTGACTTTACTCCTAAAACTAATTTTTGATAAAAATTAGACAGAAATGACACATTGATAGTCACGTAGTATAAAAATATTTTATTATATATAACTCACATCCCTGATATAAATTTAAGCTCTAATATAATAATATATTTTTATGTTATTGACCATTATTGTGATATTTTTTTATCTAATTTTAAATAGAAATTAGTTTTAAGAATAAAGTGAGAAAAACATAAAACATGAAAGACCTGAGAATTTGAACAAGGGTGATTTTGGTGGCTTCTCTGACTTTTTTCCTCAAATGTTTTCATTAAGATGCAAGACATGAGAAAAAAATGTGGCAGTAAGATTGCGATTTAGGCCTTGTATCTTATGACAAAAGAAAATGAACCGTCAATTCACCATTTGAAGGGCCCCATTTTTAATGGTATATTTGTTTTGATATAAAGTATTTTTTAATAATTTTTTTTAAATTACGTTTTTTTGTAAAAAAAACATCTTCCTATATCTAATTCTTATCTTTTAACTAATATATTAATTGTTATATTAGTGATAGAATGGTGAAGGTGGTTGCGACAATGGTGGCAGTTGGGGTGTGGTAAAGGAGGGAGGCATGGTGATATATGTAAAATTTTAATCTGAAAAATATTTCTCATATTTCAAAATGAAAACATTTTTTATTGAGTTTTGTTTTTCATCATATCGAACGTCAGAAAATACAAAAAATATATACCAACACATATTTTATGTTCAAATAAGCGGAACACAAGTTGGGGTGTGCGCGGTGCGGTTGGGGTGTGCGCGGTGCGGTTCGGACGGTTTAAGAGTAAAATTACAAATCGAATGACGGGTTGGCAGATTAACGGATTGACAATTTGCGGTTTGGGCGGTTTTTGACGGATTGAAGAATATTCTAACTAATTATCATACATTTGCATAATATATAATACTAATTTGTATAATGTTTTTTAGATATATAACACAATGTAATTTTAAATAATATGTTTTATATATATAACCACTAATTTATAATAAATTTTATATCTTAAATCTCTCTCACACTCATTTTTACATTGATATTTCATTGAATGTTAAAAAATATATATGTATTAACTATAGCGGAGCGAAGCGGTTCGGTTGGCGGATTATAAATTTTAAAGTTTAAACCGCGGTTAGTGGTTAGAGCGGTGCGGATAGATGCGGATCGATGCGGTTTTAACGGATTGTGCGGTATTTTGCACAGCCCTAAACACAAGTATCAAATAGACCTTGGGTTGCATCTGGGTACCATCAAGGTTTCAAATGACGCAATAACTGAAGCTGTGAATTTTTTTCTTACAATTTTAAAAAAAAATTACCAATTTTTATGTATACTTTTATTTCAAAATTACATTTAAAGTTTAAAGTGATTTTTATTTGATTTTATTTAGTTTTAAGACACGATGTAATGTCTATACTAATTTCATACAAGTTTTAAGTTGTTACCTGAGATTTTCTTTTTATTAGATGTATTTAAAAAATTTATAGTGTTATATGCCAACATATACAATATCCTAGCCAATTGGACTAACCTCAGTTGGTCATCTATCAAATGATTAGGGCCATATTAGGATGCTTTCACACCTATGTTTTCATTCAATTATCCTTGTGCAAATACATGGGGAGAGAGAGAGAGAGAGAGAGTTGACTCAATGCCAAGTGCCCTCAATCATATGTGCAGCAGCAAACCAACAATAGATTTTTCAAAGAACCAAGCATTATTTTAGTAATAAATGCCCAAAAAAATATTCTGTTGAAACAATAGTCTTCAATACATAGGATTGGGTTTACAATGCAACTGACATTTTCAGTTACAGTAGAAGGAACTATAATCTATAGATACACTCTGTATCAGTGTTTTCTAATGTAATCATGTTTAGGATATTGTAAATGCTCATAAATATTTCTCTAATTTCTAATCACTAAATCCTCTCAACATCAGATTTCTCTTTTTTTTTCCTTCGGCTAGATTTCTTTCCGTTGCTCTATTTCCTACAGCTCCTCTTTGGTTATATGATCCTGATTTTTAAGATTTTTATTAACAAGTGTTGCCAATTCCTTCAAACTAGATTTTGTCGGAAGTTTGATCTGCAGTGTAAGGCGCATATCAGGCAAAAGAAGGCTAAACGGGTATGAAAAGAACATAAAAAATGATTGGTATGTCACTTAAGTACTTACTGGATTGGATTTGTCACCAGCTGGGTAGAACAAAAGCGTCGGATAGTCATCTATCTGCAAAGATCCAATGTAGATACAATGATCAAAGGTTAATCAAGCACTCAAAAAATATTTTTGGTTGAATTTGACTTTTAAAGCTAAACGTCGAATGATGAAACCAAAAGAAAAAAAAAAAACCATTTTCCTGAAAGTGAGGAAAGATTTTTAGCAGTTGTTTGAAAAATGGGGGTATCCACATTGACAACAAAAAAAATGGAATCATGAACAAAAAAGGAAAGGATTTTAAAATATATGGGTTTAGACAGGCAAGCAAGAAACCTTGTGAAGTCAATTCACAGATCCACTTTTGTGGTTTTGTAATTTAAGAAGGGAAAATCGCACTACCAGTCCCTGTATTTTGGCTCTTGTGTTATTTTGGTCCCTATAATTTTAATTAGATCGATTTTAACCATAAATTTTTAACTTTGTCTCAAATTGGTATAATTGATTCCAATTATTAACATATTTCTATGGCAAATGCACACATGAACATGTGTCATGCTTTTAGGAGCAAAATTGTACACTTGATCAATTTACTGACTTAACAATTCAATGAAAATTTTCTATCAAAAACCCTAACGACATTATCAATTGGACCAAATTGACGCAAAATCTAAAATTAAAAATCAAAATTGAACCAATTGAAATTGTAGACACTAAAGTGACACAAGCTACAAAATATAAGGAATATCAGTGTAATGAGAAACTGCAATATAGCTACTAGCCTAAGAAGGGACACACAACATGATAGGAATATGAGACAGACAAGCTGACACAACAATTTTCAACTAAAAAATAAATATATATATATATATATATATACATATATATGCAAAACACGTATAAATATATGATGGGTCAATTTCATTTTTTAACCCTGAACTATTGCCAAATTATCTACTTAGTCCTTGAACTATCCATTGAGTCTATTAAGCCCCTAAAGTATATAAATCAAAGCCTACTTATTCCATGAATTATTGGTTGAATTGAATCTATTAAGTCCCTAAATAAGTTAATTCAAATCTATTTAGTCCCTGAAAGGATTACAAAAATTAAACCTAATCTTATAAGTATTATATACTTTAGATTTCTATTCTATCTTTAAAAATGTTTTGTTTTGCTATGTGCTTAAATTTGTATAAGAGCTTAGTTTCTCAACCTTGCCAATAAAATTATACGAGTATTAGATATACTAAAGAAGTAGAATAAGATAATATAAATAATAGTACTTCGATAATAATATAACAAAATAATACATTAATTAGGATATTAAAAAAAACAAAGAAAAATTTAAAGACAATCAATTACAAATTATAAACAAATTTCGACACATAATAGTAGATAAAAACAAGCAAGTAGCCATTGTCAAACATAAGCAAGAAAATAATATAGATAATTACTCTTATCCTTATAAACGAAATTTACCAAAGGAATTGACATTCAACTTTAAACATAGAATAAAAATTTCAGGCACTAAATATGTTTGAATTAAATACTATAGAGACTTAATAGATTCAATTGATAATTCAACGACAAAGTCGACTTTGATTTAATACTTTAGGGTCTTAGTAGACTCAATCAATAGTTCAGGTACTAAGTGCATACTTTGACAATATTCAGGGGTAGAAAGTAAAATTAACTCAAATATACTTTATATATGTCATATATATATATGAACATTTAATTATAAAATAATAAAACAATGCAACATAACGTTAATTATGGGGATTAATAGGTGTAAGTACATGGGTTCATCTTTGTCACATGGCATTGACAAGTCACCACATAGTGTGCTTAAGATTTTCATGGATCTCACCATCTTGAGGATTTACATGTAGGATCCCACCTCCCAATCTAGATGGAAAGATTTCATCTCCTGATCAACATGTAGGATCCCACCACCCCATCCAGATGCAAGATCTTACCTCATCCACATGTACGACACCGCTTCCACAATCCACATACAATATCTCACCTCTCAATCCAAGTATAGGATCCTACTTCCCTGATTTCACAAGAAGGATTTTTATGATATCACCACACATCTCCAAATGAGATCGATCACTCACGATCAGTCTCCAACTTACTTGCACTTAGCTTCAGAATAACCTAGACTAGGAGTAGGGTATAGGATCTCCCTTTGAGATCACCGAAGATGGAGGAGGAGATGGCTAAGGTACTCTTACAAGAGAGGGTGGTAGTGGAGGATTTTTTGCATTGGTGGTTCCTCTTACCTTTGTTATTTATTTAAATGTATATAGAAAGAGGTCAGAAAGCAATCCTGGAATTACCTTTGTTGCTCGTTGAGTGTCCTACATTGGCGACCCCTCTTTCCTATCATCCACATTTGTGTTTGGGGTGGCCGGAACAAACTGATATAGGAAGATGGAAGGCACTTACATAGTTTAGGATCACCAGAAGTGGAGAAGAGAGGGTGGTAGTGGAGGATTTTTTGCATTGGCGATTCCTCTTACCTTTATTATTTATTTAAATGTATATAGAAAGAGGTCAGAAAGCAACCCTGGGATTACCTTTGTTGCTCGTTGAGTGTCCTACATTGGCGACCCCTCTTTCCTATTATCCACATTTGTGTTTGGGGTGCCAGAACAAACTGATCTAGGAAGATGGAAGGCACTTGCATAGTTTAGGATCACCGGAAGTGGAGAAGAGAGGGTGGTAGGGAGGATTTTTTGCATTGGCGATTCCTCTTACCTTTATTATTTATTTAAATGTATACAGAAAGAGGTCAGAAAGCAATCCTGGGATTACCTTTGTTGCTCGTTGAGTGTCCTACATTGGCGACCCCTCTTTCCTATCATCCACATTTGTGTTTGGGGTGCCAGAACAAACTGATATAGGAAGATGGAAGGCACTTAGATAGTTTAGGATCACCGGAAGTGGAAGGGGAGAGCGTTGAGGCACTCTTAGCAGAGAGAAAACGGCATTAGAAGTCTGTGTCAGAGAGAGCTGTGTAGGAGTGTATTGATGGCTTGATTTGTTGCTTAGGGGAGACCTTATATAGAGAGTGATGTCCCGATAGTATCAATGTCAAGCTTGGCCAATGATCCTCTATTGCGACCATATCAAACTGATCATAAAATATTGACAGTATCGCGCGCATAATCCATGTGCTATGCTACAAGTGTCAGGCATGCAACACCTTATAGTTGTAAGTCACAAGTTGCAGGTATTAAACATCAGGTCTTGGTGAAACTTCTCTCATCTAAGATTGGTCAAGTGTCCTCGAGTGAGTACCATGATGATCACAAGTCCTTCAATGATCCTGAATAGTGGTCTTAGGACCTATTCCCGACCTAGGTTATTATGGAGCTACGTGTAAGTTGGAGATGGATTGCAAGAAACAGATCTTACATGACCGATCTCCTTCGGAGATGGGTGGTGAGATCCTGGAGATCCTACATGTAGATCAAATCTAGGAGCTGAGATCCTACATCTGATACTTGCTCATGGATACTGCACCAATCTTAGATGAGAGAGGTTTCGCCAAGACACATGATGTATCACATCTATGACCTGCAACCGTAACATGTAGATCGAATCCAAGGGTGAGATTATGCATGTTGAGATCCTGCATCCGTCAAGGTACTCGCTCAAGGATACTTTACCAATCTTAGATAAGAGAGGTTTCGCCAAGACATGTGATGTATCACACATGTGACCTGCGACCTGCAACCTGCAACTGTAACATGTTATATGCCCAACACTTATACCATGGCACATGAACTATGTGCACGATACTATTAAGATTCGCTAACCACTTTGTTATGGTCATGACAGAGGATTGAGACAGGTGATCATTAACTGATTGTGACATTGTTAGTGTCATGAGATCCTTCTCTATATAAGGTCTTCCCAAGCAACAAATCAAACCAGTAGTACACCTACACAGTTCTCTCTGCTACATAAGACCTCCACTTCCACCCTCTCTGACAAGAGTGCTTTGGCTCTCTCTTTAAGATTTCTGAATAGCTTTCTGCATATTCAACTTGTAGAATACAAAGATTATAACCAATATTTATAGCAATCTTAAACCTAATCTATAATCTACGTTACACGGACTCGGGTGCGGGTGCATATCTAAGGGTCAAACACCTCAAAACTAAAAATGAAGGATACGTGGATATGGATCCAAATTTAGATACGGATACGGGGATACGTCAAATAATTATTTCTTAAATATATATTTTATATAAACATGAGTTAACAAGTTGACCCAATAATTTTTTTTATATATAATTTATGGATCAAACATATAAATTAGCTACATAATAACCCCTGATAGTCAAAGATTTGTTGGCCAAAATTTTAATAGGCCCAAATTTTAGTAGGCCCAAAATTTAATTTTATTTATCTAGTTCAGCCCATTTTTTTTAAAAAAAATATTTTTATAAAAAGATGAAATATAATAAATAAAGAATAAGAGAGAGAGAGAGAGAGAGAGAGAGAGAGAGAGGAGGGGAGGGATCAGTGTCGGTGGAATAGAAGAGAGAGAGAGAGAGAGAAAGAGAGATGACAGAGAAAGAGAGGGGCTTACGATTGTGCTCGATGAAGACGAATACGAAGTCAAAGGGCGCTAGACAAAGTCAAAGTCGAAATCGACAAAGACAAAGTTGAAGGATGCGACCAGAGGGATCGAAATCAGCAACAAAGGGATCAATGTCTTGCCCTTTCAAAGTCAGCGACAGGTTCTCTCCTTGCTCTCTCCTCTTTCGTTTCTTCTCCTGTATCCATTTGTAAAGAGTCGTATCCCGGCCGTATCCTGCACCTACACCCGTGTCGTGTCTTGTCGACACGGGTACCTCCCCAAAAACGAAGAGTCCATGTAACGTAGTCTATAAAAGGAAATAATCCTATACAATCAATCGAATATCAACCTACCTAATTGATACATAATACCATAATTACATAATACCATATTCTCACACCCCTGTTCAAACTCAAAGTGTTTTAGCAGAAAACACCAAGAGTTTGCCAAGAAACTGAAATCGAGCAGT